AGGTCCAGGGTATAGTCTGTCTCTGTAAAGGAGTTGGGTGTATTGTGTTGGTGAAGCTGAGGGAAAACAGGTACCTCATACATCACTACAAACATGTCCATTGATATAACCTTCATGGGAGATGTTTAATGAAGCCAGCAAAGATTAACTTTTTGAAGCATGATGGGAAAATGCTAAGAGTATAATGTTAAGTTAAAAAAAGACAGAAAATATATGTAGCATGATATCAGAAAAAAAGGTACTGGAAGAAAATATATCACAACAATAATAATACCTATTTCTGGATGGCAAGATAACTGAAGAAGTGATTCTAACTGCCACGTCCTCTTCCAACCATGTTGTCTGACAAGGTTGGGCATGGAGGACTCGAGCTGAAGGAATTTGTCTCCCCGGAGGAGAATGTGGCATCCAAAATGGGTTAACAATTGGCTGTTTTATTTTACTTATTTTACTCTTGCTACTGAATATAGGCATTGTACTGTACTTACTTATTCCTGTGAAAATCACCCAAGAGGAGGGAACAGTTCAGGGGAAAACATTAGTATTCCCCATTGAACTTCCTGAAAGGATGGAAAAATCCCCACAGATTCCCCTGTTCATTATACAGGGGAGTACGACAGCCAGGGTAGTATAATTGTTAACCATGAGGGAAAACCTGTCAAGTTGTATAAATTACCCTGGTTTGAGCAACTTAAAGCGATCAGGACCGCCATGGTGTACCAGAAATAAGAAAAACAAGTTAGATCTCTTAAATCAACAGTTAAGGCCAGTTAATAAAGAACCAGGTTATCGTTGCAAACACAGGTTGTGCTGCCAACAGTTGAAGGAAGAACAGATTAGAAAGACTTTCCCACGACTGTTCCTTACCCACAGATACAAAGGGTCTTCCAAGAAGACAAGTAAGAACTATATAGACCCCTACCCACAGCCCAGGGATACGGTCGGACGGTTGAGAGCCATCGGCAAGGCAGAAGAAACTGTGGCTGGATGTCCTGTCTCTCTCTCCTTACATGTTTGTTTGGGTGATCAAAAGGTGGTGGGGTTGTTAGACACTTGTATTTCAGGTTCATTGATTAGCATAACTCCAATGAAGTTGTGCAAAATAATTTCTTGACCAGAGAACAAAGTCCCTGTATGTCTAATAGTTGTTGGAGTAATAGCCCCTCCTTTACCTTGAATAGGAATATATATATCAATTAGACAAGCAAAGAAATAACAAAAGCTGGTTAGTTATTACAAACTAAACACGTAGAAAGTTACTAGGGAGTCAGAGTTTATAGAACACAGAGAAACATTTTAGACAGAAAAGGCCAGATAGCTAAGTTAGACATCACAAAGGTCTTATAATAAATCTCCTATTCCCTCTACTCAATCTAGCGTATCCTTTTGCCCCATGACAAATTCTGAGAAACTTTAATAAACATTAATACATTCAAATTCTGTACATACAGCTACTTCTATTGTCTGATTTATGGCTCTCCTGGTCAAAACAATCTTTGTTTAATATAACTGAATCTATGGGAACTTTCGTACTTTTCCTGGTTACCTTTGTATTGATTTTTTTCTGCTTAACTGATTATGCTATGCTGCAAATGTTAATCACTACCTAAAATGAAAATATAAAAACCTGCTTGTACTCGCGATAAACCGGACAGAGCTTCACTGTCCTTTGAGGCGTGTTGTTGTCTGTTACCCATCACCAACGCCTTACCCACCTTTCAGGAAACCCTGGACCCTGCTGTGGCTAGACCAAGGCACTAACTTTGTTCTTTATACTAATTAGCATTTTTAAAATTTATAACAAGCCTGTAAAAACTGCTCCATGGATGCAGACAGCAAGAGCAAAGTGGACTTTTTCAGTACTTTTGACAATCCACTATGGAGTGAGTCCTGTCAGTCATGAACAAGAGTTATGTCAAGTGCTCTGGCAAAACTGAAGTAATGGAGTGTAATGAGAATGCCCTTAGGAGGGGCCACAAGTCTAACACTTGAATAAAGACTCCACCTGGACACCTATATGCATGGGACCTCCACCCCTGGCGGGCTATAAGAAGTCAGAGCTCTGACCACCCAACACTCAAGCCTGGCTGTACCACAGGTCACGCTCAGAGCCCTGCTGGACTTCCACTCCACCGGACGTGTGCCACCACTGGAGCCACCTGGCTTGGGACTGATGCCTGCCTGTCCACCTGCAGACACCGCCAATGACCAGGACTTCAGGCGGGACACTCAGTCTGCTAACTTCTATCATTTAAGCTTCCTCCTGCGTGTGACTCTACTGGTTTACTGGGGAGGCTTTTAAAGTTCATATTAAGACAGAGCTGACTCCTTGGCTTACCTACAATTCTGGAGAAAACTGATACAGTTGATTCTAGTTATTCCCAGAAGCTATGTTCTATGAAGCCATGATCACTGAATTAGCAAACATTGCACCACTGCTTCTGGAGAAATATTGGGTTGCAATCCTGTGAGCTTCTGGCCACATTTTCATCAACCAACCAATATATAACCTTGTTTTATATTTGTTTCTGTTTAAAGACATGCTATTTAATACATATTGCTGATTAATTGACATTGAACTTATAGCCAATAGCCATCTAACTCATGCCTGAGTTAGATATTTTCTCTATAAGGCACATCACAGATCTTTTGTACTCAGGGACACTAGACAGCACTTCACATGGGGGCAATTTTCAACAGTGAATTTGCCAACCAAAAGCACTAAAATGAGAAAAACATGACAGTAAATAGGCCTCCAGGAGGACACTTGATAACAGTATAAGAGCTGAAACAGGCAGAGGGTCACCTTATTCATCCTCAGCTGGGAATATGTACCTTGGACCAGTCTGTGCATGCCCATGAATCAAACCCCAAAATTGATTTTGGGATTACAAATAAATTTAGTGAGTAGATGATTCATGAATACAGAATCCACAAAGCAATAAAGGTTGACTACAATTATGCTTATAGTTTTAAGGAAGATTCTTACTCAATAGAAAAGAGTCAAATATCAGTATTCTACAGCTGACCTCCTTCAGAGTAGTTTAAAGTTGAGTACTTTACAATTTACAACAGTTCCCCATTCCATAATGGAGAGTAAAGCAAGGTATTTCATCATTACTTTTATATATTCATTGTCTTCAGCAAAAGCCATCTATTTTTATTATCCAATTAATTTCAGCCAGTTGTTACTGATTCTCCAACTGGAAAACATGGACATGTGTGGGATTACCTGAACTAAAGCAATTTACAGTCCTCTTGGGCGTGGCCAGTGGAGGTGGTGATGGAGACAACTCCCAACTCTAATTCAAGACAGAAGAGAGTTGAGGCCACTACAGAGCTCTAATGTTCTAATGTGGGTGAGCCTGGTAAAAACATAATGCTAAGGGGACCAAATGAAAGAGTGAGTGCATCCTCTTGGGATTGTCTGGAAAACTTGATGGAGAAAGTGCTAGTTGAAAAGACCATGAAAGATTAGCAAAATGCTAAGTTGAAAAGACCATGAAAGATTAGCAAAATGGTAAGTGCAGCTGTGGGATGCAGTGGTGGGAATGTCTTCAGACCAGCAGCAGAAGGGCACAGTGGGAATACAAGATCTGGAACTGGGTCAGAATCCAGCACAAATGCAGGGTAGTGAAAGGAATGAGAAGACAACTGAAAGGCAAATGGCTAAAGTGACAAAGGGAGCCTGCTATTTTGATCATTCATCCTATTTCCAGAAGCTTCTTGGTTCATTTCACCTTTACCCTGCAATGGTGAACTCTTTACCAGTTTATCTTTTGCTTTCTTAACTAGACCATCCTGGAGGCAAACAGGGGTCAGGCCTCATTCTTTATTAGCCTCCCTCCCTCTGCCTTCTCCCCAATACACAAATACACACACCCTAACATACAAAAGATTGCCCAACACCAATGCCTGCATGTCTCTAGCTTTCAATAAATATTTACTCATTCAATAAATGGCTTGATAAATACACAAAACCCTTAATAATCCTTGGTGTATTTCTAAAACTACAGATTTTTCTCAGTGACAAGATGACCTAACCTTGTAACTACAAATTAACTATCTCTATATTTTCCCAGAATATAAGTATGTGTGGGGAACAGGAATCTTTGAAAGTGCCACAATATTATGTTACACACTTTTATTTCTGAATCTAAAATTGAAAACAAATGTCCAACAGAATGTCTATAAGTTTTACAGCTGAATTTGTAAATGTATATGTATCAACACATCCTTAAATCCTAATTTTTAGGCTATGTCCTATTTCAATCCCCTTGATTATATACAATTCCTTAGAACTGAGTTTAAATACTCATAGTGTTCTTAGACTATCTTTTGAGTGTAAAATATTATGTTACATAGGCCCTGGCTGGTGTAGCTCAGTGGATTGAGTGCGGGACTGTGAACCAGACAATTGCGGTTCAATTCCCAGTCAGGGCACATGCCTGGGTTGCAGGCCAGTTCCCTGCAGGCCACTTCCCAGCAGGGGACACGTGAAAAGCAACCATACATTGATGTTTCTCTCCTTCCCTTCCCCTCTAAAGATAAATAAATAAAATCTTAAAAAAATAAAATAAAATAAAATATTATGTTACATGTGGTTAAACATTTCTGAATATTCTTGCACAGAAACGAATTTCAATATAAAATTATTTTAATCACATCTTAAATAGTTTCTTCTATCACCAATAAATTTTAATTATATAAATATTTTAAGAAGTTAATTCTTACTCTTTAACTGCTCAAACAGAAATGTCTCCAGTGGCACAAATTCAAAGAATATTAGGAACAGTAAATATTTCCATTTGAGTGCACTTTATGCAAAATAGAGACTACAATTCTCTAGTAGCTAGTCAATAGCCAAGAACTTATAAGTTAAGTTTTGTCTATCATTCATTGCTTCTAAAATTGAATTTTCCATTAGAAATGATTATTAAGTTTAAGAACAGAGGCAAGTTTTAAAATACACACTTTTGCAGTCAAATTATTTTACTTACTGTTTCAAAACCTCGATGTGGGTGGTCCGGAAATCCACCTGGTCTACCACCTTTAAATTCATCAAACAGTAAAAATGGATCCAGATTTTTTAACTGAAATAAAAATAAAATTCAAAAAATAAATAAATAAAAATAAAATAAAATAAAATTCAGCAGATTAGGCATGCCTTTTAAGCCACACTACTAAGGGCTACATACATGAACAGATCTAGCAAAAGTCATTGAAAACTACATACCCAGTGAGCAACTATTTGTAATGAAAGCTGCTTTTAGGAAGGAACTCCTCACACACACACACACACACACACACACACACACACACTGATTCACTGATTAGGTCTGAATTAACATTTATGAGAACTACCAACAGTGGACAGACACCTCAAGATCATCTAAGGTCTAAATAGTTAAGCACAAACGAGATACTGTCTATATCCCAAATAGATTCATAATCTCACAGGGGAACAAGATTAGAATGTCAATGATTGCACTGTCGTGATAAATACTCTGAGGGAAGACAGATGAGAGTGGGGTAGGATCAGGAAGGGTGTCGCTTAGGCAGGGTCTTAAAGTACCTGTAGGAGTTAATCAAGTAGAAAGGGGAGAAGGAAGACTATTCCAAGAAAAAGAGCAGAGACAGAGCTTGGTAACCTTGCAGAACTGCAAGGAAACTATATTGAGGCAAAATATGCACATGAAATTATCATAAGAGATGGCCTGAGAAGACGGGTCACACCTTAAAGAAGTTTGGATTTCATCTTGAGGATGATGGATTTTTTTAATTTTTATTTTTAATTTATTCAATTATTGTTCAAGTACAGTATTCTGTCTTTTACTCCCATCCCAGCTCACCCCCCCAGTGCTCCCCACCTCCCTCCCATTTCTACGCCCCTTAGTTGTCCATGTGTTCTTTATACCAGTTTCTGTAAACCCCTTTGTCCCCTGAAATTCCCTCCCCTCTCCCGTCTTGTTGCTGTCCCCCAGTTCTCTATTTCAGTGTCTTTGTTTTTACTTTGCTTGCTTGTTTGTTTTGTTGTTTAGGTTCCTGTTAAAGGTGAGATCATATGGTATTTGTCTTTCAACACCTGATTTTAATGAGACATTGAGATGATCAGATTTAGAAGGATCATTCTAGCACATATGTGGAAGATGGTTTGGAAAAGGAAGAGAAAGAGACAGACTATTTAAAAGTCACTTCAATAATCCAAACAAGAACAAGGGCTGGGCCTAAGGCAATGGCAGTGGTGATAGAGAATGGGAAAAAAGAAGAGCATTAGAGGACTCCCAGAGTTAGAGCTATGGTACCTGGGAGGATGGCAGGGCCATCCAGCAGCACAAGGAATATAACAGAAGCAGCCTTGGTGACTTCATTTTAATTCACATTGAGTTTGAGATATCTACATAAATGTCTCCTGTATAAATGGATCTTTGGATATTTAGCATCCAGTGTACTGTGTAAAAGCTAGAAGGCAATTGAAGATAAATCTTGAGCTCAAATGAGATGTGGAAACAGATTAAAATTGCTGTGAATCTATGAACCAATTTGGGAATAATGGATATTTCCATGTAATATTGAGTATTCCTATACATATATGTGGTTATTTCCATTTATTTAGGTCTTTGAGAATGTCTTTTAATACAACTTATTTTCTCCACAAAGATTTTGCATTTACTTAAGTTTTTTTCTAAGTAATATAATTTTAAAGGTATTATAAATAGTATTTTTAAATCATGTTTTTGAAGTTTGGTGCTGGGGATTAGAAATGTAGATAGAAAGGCATTTTGAACATTTCTAAGCTCTTATTAATTTTCATAATTCCTGTGTAGCTTCTTTTGGGTTTTCATTGCAAACATTCATAGCACCAGTGTATCTAACAATAAGTTTTTGCCCAATAGCTCACAAACAAATTATTTATTTACATTAAAGCTGTGGAAGGCTGCTAAGCTGGGCTGGCCTGTACAGGTTTTCGCATTCTGGCTTCAGAGCTGAAACAGTGGACTCTATCTAGAACATGCTTTTCAGATAGCCAAGGTTGGAGCAAAAAACAAATAAAAATGAGCCAAGTCAATCGTGCACAATCACATTAATACATACTGTTTAGTCAAAGCACGTGACATAGCCAACCCCATAGTCAGGGAGGGCAGCACTTAAACCCTCCCTATGGGACTCAGGGCTAATGCAGTTAAAAGTGGGTGGGAGTACATAATCCCATTACAGAAGCAATTTTCAACCAGTGTGCTACAATACCTGCCTGTGTAGTCCAGGGCCCTGATCCCTTTTCCCTTAGATTGTCAAATAAAAAATGACAACAGTCAATACAACAATAGCCCTCTGGTGTGAACGAATCAAAATTATACCTATTTTTGTCAGATAGGCAAAAAATATATTTTTGGTGTGCCACAGAATTTTAGTATTTAGTTTATATGTGCCATGGCATAAATTAGTCTATGAGTCCATTTTTGTTTTGTTGTTCATTTATATTGTTCTTTAGATCCCACGTATAAATGAGATCATGTGATATTTGGCTTTGTCTGGCTCATTCAGCTAGCTAATTAATTTTGAGTTATTTATTTATTTGTTTATTTCAGGGTATCTACTCTGTTATAAATGAAAGTACCATACCCCCTCTTTGTCTCTGCCTCTGGAAAACACACATGCAGGTGCACACATGTGTATATATAAAACATATATAGTACATATATAGTACATATACACATACAAAGTCAACAATCTACTGCAAGTTTCTTTTTACCTAACCAAGTCTCAGTCTCTTTACTTTAAAATGTAGATTGTGACTTATACAAAGCTGGGTAAGTCCATTTTTCTGTAGCCCATCTCAGTCTGGTGTTTCCTCCAGTCCAATACTAAACAGTAATTGAAAACAAAATATTTATTGAATTCTTTAAAAAAATATCAAAGAAGGACATCAGCTTAAAGACAGCAAAAGTCAGGGAGCTGGTTGAAAAAAGAGTCAGAGGATGAACTGCTTTACTGGACCAGTGGGAGAAACACTCTCCATCAAGCAAGAGTATCTTGCATTAGCCCTGGCTGGTGTAGCTCAGTGGATTGAGCGCGGGCCTGAGAACCACACGATCGCAGTTTGATTCCCAGTCAGGGCACATGCCTAGGTTGCAGGCCGGTTCCCTGCAGGCCAGTTCCCAGCAGGGGACACACAAAAAGGCAACCATACATTGATGTTTCTCTCCCTCTCTCCTTCCCTTCCCCTCTAAAGATAAATTAATAATAATAATTTAAAAAATGAAGGAGAGAATCCTAGAAGCAGCAAGAGATAAGGGGACAGTCACCTACAAAGGAGTCCCCAGCAGACTGTCAGCAGATTTCTCAAAAGAGACCTTACAGGCAAGAAGGGGCTGGAAAGAGGTATTCCAAGTCATGAAATCCAAAGACCTACAACCAAGATTGCTCTATCCAGCAAAACTTTCATTTAGAATGGAAGGACAGATAAAGTGCTTCTCAGATAAGATCAAATTCAAGGAGTTCATCATCACCAAGCCCTTATTATATGAAATGTTAAAGGGACTTATCTAAGAAAAAAAAGTTAAAGAAACATGAACAGTGAAAGGACAACAAACTCACACTTATTAACAACCACAGCTAAAACAAAAGCAAACTAAAAGGACGGCTAGATCAGGAGTGGAAACATAGAAATGAAGATCTCAAGGAGGGTTAGCAACAGGGGAGTGGGAGGAGGGGAAGGGGGGAGAAGGTACAGAAAATAAGTAGCATAGACAGTAGATAGAAAATAGATGGGGGGGCAAGAATAGCATTGGGAAATATAGAATCTAAAGAGCTTGAGACACATGGACATAAACTAAGGGGGGGTAATCGTGGGGATGGGGGGTAGGGTGGAGGGGAATGAAGGGGGGGAATGGGGGGGAATAGAACAACTGTAACAGCATAATAAATAAAAAATTTTAAAAAAAGAGTATCTTGCATTAGACTATTGTACTAAAGTATTATTTGCAGGCTAGGTATTAGCCCTCATCAAAGTCCCTAATAGTCTCTAAACATTTGGCAAGCATTCAACACCATTGTTAAAGAAACACGTTACCTGTAGACAAGATCTAATTTATATGAGAACTCTGATTCCTAACATGCTTGGCTTGGTCACTGACGTATCCACATCTTTCTCTCTCTACATATTAAACTAATGATCTTTCAAAGTTTTTGAACCATATGAGAATTTCTTTTCCTTCAAACAGTTCCAAATCCTTTAGTTGCCACATTCAGGCATCAGCTTCCAAGCTATTTGTTTTGATCTCTTGAGAAGACACATCAAAACCTGCGGCCACCACCCCTCAAGCCCGTGGCACTCCCATAATAAAGCTCCAGCAGCCTGGCATTTTTAAGTCAGGAAGCACTGGAAGTAGCTACCAGAAATGTCAGTTCCTTGGGGACAGGATCGACTCAATACTTTTTCATAATGCTCCGTTGACAAGGGTGTCAAACTCATTTTCACCAGGGGCCACATCAGTCTCAGGTTGCCTTCAAACAGCCGAATGTAATTTTAGGACTGTATAAATGTAACTACTCCTTATCTAGGGGCAGGGAACTTGGCACTGCCACTGAGTAGAAACAAGATGCCGGGCAGGATAAAACAAGGTTGAGGGCTGGATTTGGCCCACAGGCGTTATGTTTGCCACCTGTGATATAGAATAATTCTGTGTACACAGAAGATACTCCATCCTCATCCTAAGTGATACTGAGTTAAGTCCCTAGCCTCCCTTGCAACTAGGTGTGGTCATACGACTGAATCTCACTGAAGAGAGGTATAGAGTCGTTGGGTGAGACTTTTAGGGAAACCCCCTATAAAAGGAGGATAGACAGCTGGCAGGCATCCTTTTGCCTTTCCACTCTTCCCCTGTTTGGTACCCAAGGGCAAATGGCGGCTATAGCCCTCCCAGCCGTTTGGGGCCATAAAGTGATGCACTATGGATATATCAAGAATGATGAACTAAAATAGAATGAGTGTGGGTCTCTGGTAAGTGTGGAGCCTCCAGGCCAACCCTGGATCATTTACTTTCTGCTTTTCAAAAGGAAAACACAAATCTTTATGTATACAAAGCATTGGTTTTGGGGGATGCTTTTTGTTATGCATAATCAGACCAAGTTCTAACTAATATAAGGGCAATAATGCCTGTGGCAGTAACCTAGAATCAGGTGAGACCCCGCCCTCCCAATACTCCACAAAAGGCCAGCTTACATCAAGACAATACGGCAGCAGCAGAAAGGAGAGGCCCTGCAAAGGCAGCTCTGACAGCTCAGCCCACCTCCTGGGTCTACTCAGCCTCTAGACCAGTGGTGTCAGACTCATTTTCACTGGGGGCCACATCAGCCTCGTGGTTGCCTCCAAATGACTGAATGTAATTTTAGGACTGCATAAATATAACTGCTCCTTAACTGTTAAGCAGTTGAAATTACATTCAGCCCTTTCGAGGCAACCCACCAGGCTGATGTGGCCCCCGGTGAAAATGAGTTTGACACCCCTGCTATGGCCTGAGGGTAATAATGACAAGGCAGAAGAAAACTGTCAGTACATGGCCCAGGTCTCAATACAGCCTGGGATGAATTTCAGCTATGACTCTATACTCCTCTACTTTGCCTCACTATCTGCAGACCCTGATAATGGAGTGTCACCTACATCGATCAGAACCGAGGTTATTTGATGATATTAAGGAACTAATAATTTTTTCAGTGTGATCATTGGATTGTGGTTCTATTTTTGAAGTTCTTATCTTTTAGAGGCACAAACTGAAATATTTATAAATGACATTATTCACTTCAAAATACTCTTAGGGAAGAAATGGATGGGGATATAGATGAAATAAAATTGCCCATGAGTTGATCATGGTGGATACTTGGTACATGAAGATTCTGTATACTATTTCTCTATTTTGATATGGTTGAAATTCTTCATAATACAAGAAAAAGAAATATGAGTGGTCCTGGGCAAATCACACTCCACCAAGGAGTGTCTGGTGGGAGGGGGAGGGAGCAGAGACAAATGCAGGTAAGTAGTGGATATTCCTCCTGTTGGGAGCACGGACAAAGCACGCATTAACATCATGCTATGCAATCATTTGAATTCCAGCTGGGCTGGCCCAGCCCATATATAATTGTAATGAAAGGTGTGAGCCAACCCCGCTCCATCTCTTCTTGATCATTGATCACCAAAAAGCTCAGTGAAAACATTGTGAATTCCTATAACTTCATATTTACAGTCATAGGGAACAAGTTACTTAGAGCCACTGATGCTAAACACTGTCATAAATTCTTTGCTAAAAGAGCTTGGGCTCCAAAGTTTATGAGATGTACCTTCAGTGACAAATCTTTGGTGTAAAAAGTTTGAAAAGTAATTGCCTTGAGGTTAGATAGAAAATTTCCTTCCCTGCTGATTGGACAGTTAGGGTTTGACTTCTGGGCAAGTTGGTAGTGTACAGAGTGCTAAAAATATGGTAACAATCTAAATGGCCAAAAGTAGGGCCACAAGTAAGAGAAAAACAGCAGGCCCATACATGGGATAAGTCATAGCTATTGAAAGGATGTCTATGGAAAATTATTCCTATGAATAACAGCATAGGAAGTACTTATGCTACCATGTTAAGTGAAAATAAATAAGGGCATAAAATTGTATATTCTATGTAATCACCATGATGTAAATATATGATTATATGTAGAATGTTAGGATCTTTAAGGCATAGGTTTTCAGCCACAGACTCTTAACTGGGCACCATGGGGAGAATTCAGGGGCTATAAACTTGGCTGGAAAAAATTACATCTTTATTTTTACTAATCTCTAACTGAAATTTTCTTCTGGTTTTTTTGTACTAAAGTACACATAACCTGAATTTTACCATTTTAACCACTTTAAGTATCATTTCAGTGGTATTAACTGCATTCACATTGGTGTACAATAGTCACTTTCATCCATCTCCAGAATGAAATTTAACACTTCCTTAAATTATGAATTTAGTCAAAGAACCACAGTAACTTAACCAGTACCTGACTTTGTTGCCAATACAAGTCAAAGCTATTTTCATATGATATTACTGTTGTTGCAGATATACTGAACTATTGTTCATGCTCTTCACAGTTTTGAAATTAAGTAGTTCGAACTGCTGCCAAGTCTTGTTGTTTAATGTAAAACTATTAGATTCCAAATTTGTTTTGTAATCTTTTGCTAACCATGTGTCAATATAAAGTTTTCCTTTGTAATCCTATGTGTTTTATTTTATGCATTTAAAAAACATTATTATGAGAAGGAAGTGATGGGTTTTACCAGACCACCAAAGGGATTTGCAAGTCAAAAAAATGTAGAAACCCTCAGCAGATGTGTTCCTGACAGATGGAGTAATTAAAGCATTAGCTATCCTCAACATACAATAGTGGCTTGACCAATGAGGTATCTGAATTCTTTACAACTGTTCTGTTGATGATGTGGCCTTGTATAATATGATACCGCATCCATCTGCATTCTCCCAACATCCATTGTGCATTTAGTCCTTTCAACAATCTTGTTTGCATCTGTCTTTTGGAAAACAATGTTGCTGGACCTCAAAAAATATTCATAGTTAAAGAGGAAGCTAATGATAAAGAGTATGAGAATACCAGAGCAGATTTTAAGAACAAACCAACCTCACATTTCAAAACAAATCTATTTCCCTAGTATGTTTCTTCCTTTATTTGCATTGCACTACTTATCAGGGAAATACAAATCGAAACCACAATGAGATATTACCTCACACCTGTTAGAATGGCTCTTATCAAAAAGACAAGAGACAAGTATTAGCAAGGATGTAGAGAAAAGGGAGCCCTCATGCACTGTTGGTGGGAATGTAAATTGGTGCAGCCACTATGGAAAACAGTATGAAGGTTCCTCAAAAAAAAAATAAAAATGGGACTATCATAGAATCCAGCAATCTCACTGCTGGGTATTAATTCCAATGAAAACCCTAACCCAAAAAGATATCTGCACTCCCATGTGTGTTGTAGCATTATTTACAATAGCCAGGACATGAAACCAACCATGGATAAGCAGACATAGAAGATGTGGTATATATTATATGCAATGGAATATTATTCACCCATAGAAAGGAAATTTTACCATATATGACAATATAATATGAATGGACCTTGAGTGTTTGATGCTAAGCAACATAAGGCAGAGAAAGACAAATATTATATGATCTCACTTATATAATATATAGTTAAATTTAAAACAAGCGAAAAATACAAACAAGGTCATAGATACAGAGAACAGATTGCTGGGTGCCAGAGGTAGAGGGTGGGGTGAGTGAAATGGGCAAAGAAGGTTAACAGTTACAAACTTCCAGTTATAAATAAGTCATGGGATGGAATGTACAGTATGGCAACTATAATTAACATACTGCACTGCATATTTGAAAGCTGCCAAGAGATTTTAAAAGTCCTCATCATAAGGATAAAACTTTTTGTTAATTATGTATGGTAACAGATGTTGACTAGACTTATTGTGGTGATCATTTCACAACTTATACAAATATCATGTTACTATGTTGTACACCTGAAACTAATATAGTGTTATATGTCAATTATACCTCAATAAAAAAGGTGGTTTTTTTTTTTGAATCTGCTATGGTGCTGGGTATAGTATTCCCTGGATTATAACTATCATTTAATACCTTTCTGTACAAATAAGATTTTCTTTTCTATGAGTCCTATATCTCCCATTATTTTCAAATGAAAGAGCTCTCTAATGTTGAGAGACATTTATACAGCCTGTGCTTGCCTTCTTTGGTAGCCCCTACTTACCGCCCCCCTCCCCCGCCATCAAAAGAGGTCCAACTCCCAGCAGTCTCTCTATGAACCCAAGTCCCTGGCAATGGCTGACTGGCCAAGGGTATAGACTTGATGCCAGCCAAGACAATCAGATTCTCTCTCCTAGGAATTTGGAATTGAGACCCAGGGTTACTCCCTGGTGGTTTCAGTTATGGGCACGTAAACTTGGGGGTATAGGATAGGTATGCCTGGTGATACATATGCTGAGGCTGATGGGATGTAGGTGTGTAGAGAGGAGCAGAGATGTTTCATGAAGCTTGGCAGTGGCAGCTTCTGTCCAGGATCTCTAGATCCATGATACAGAAATCCCCTTTTGGCGGGGATCCCAAATGCTAAGTTTAGACTTGGCGCCTTTGGCCCCTGAGAGCAGTTCATGATGGTCTTGGGCCCTCTATTTCCGAGTTTGCCTTCATTGTCCCACCAGTCCCTTCTGCAAAAAAGCACAGAACAGCCACCAAACCAACATACCTCAGGTCTGCCAATGCTTCTGCGGACCCTCGCTCCAACCCCTTCTGACTGCTCCTGGCTGAGCACTGAGAGGGTGACCTTCTTAGAGGATACCATGTCAAAATCCAAAACACACTGCTCTGATGCTGAACTGTAGAGGCTGGAGGGCAAAAGGGGAGACAACAAAACAGAGAAGTCACTAAGTCCTCGGTCACATCCAAGGAATACCAAATAAAGCATATTAAACTCAGACTTGCCCAAAATACTAATGGCTACAATTTATTGATTGCTTACTATGTATGAGATGTGGGTTAGATGATTTACACAGCAGTCATGAGGGTGAACATGTATGAGTTCTTACTAGGTTCCCAGCCACTAGGCATTTACAGTTGTTATCTCATACGATCCTCCAGCCGTCTTCTACAAGGTTTAGCAATATGGGCACTTATCTGCTTTTACCTCACTGAAATCTCTCAGCCTGCTTCCCACTCACTGCCCCATGAGGCAGGTGCTACCAGTGAGGCTGAGAGAGCTCTGCATGGTGACATAGGAAACACTAAGAAAAAACAAGAGGCCTGGGACTCTCCAGAATGCTGAAAATCATGGCATTGAAAGGAATCTTTGAGGGTCATCAAATTCCAAGACCCACCTATCCCTGAAGTTCAGGACCTACTTTTCTGGCAAGAAATCTTTGCACTTTCTCATGAAGTGTTCAAGAGCAAAGGATTTCAGGACCAAGCCCAGAACAAGTATAATCAATCCTTTTCCCTCTTCAAGTGCTTGCAGACAATTACCCCAATCCCTAAAGCTCTTCTTCCAGAGAAATAGAATCCATTCCTTCAAAGATTCCTAGCCAAAGCAACAGATGCTTTAGCAAGAAGCATAAACCCTGATGCTAAACAAGCCTGGGTTTGCATCCCAGCTTCACCATGTACCAGTTGTGTGACCTGAGGCCAACTGCTAAGCCTCTCCTTCCTCAGTTTTTCTGTCAGCATTCTAAGGTCAGCTGCTGTTATTTAAAACACTCACCCTGGCAATGCCCTCCCCTGTCAGTCAAGGCACAACTGAATTGTTAGACACAGCAATAAGCTCAGATGCCTGTGTACAGAATAGTCATCACCAACAAACAAGCAAGTCAAAAGTATTTTGCCCACATCTGAACAATTTGGGGCTCCTTCTAGGCTCCTACAAATAAACTTTAGGCACGTTAGATACATGGAACAGACTGACAGCTGTTGGGTCGGGGCGGGGGCGTGCAGACTGTATGAAAGATGGTGAAGGGATGAACCAAAGAACAGTTATGCATGATCCGCAGTCACCAACCAGGACATGGGGATTGATTGAGGGAGGGGAGAGGGGGAGAGGGTGGGACTGGGTGGAGGTGGGAAAACAGAGAAAAGTGGGAACAATTGTAATAGCATAAACAACATAAATTTAAAAATAAAAATGGTTATAAAGAAATTCTTTGCATGTGAAGATCCTACCAGCAACTCCCAGATCACAGTGTTTTGCCAGAAAGAGGATTCGGCTACCACTCTCCCCTAATTGCAAAGAACTACTAAGGATCTCTAGTCATCTCCCACAGAAACCCCCCCTAGGCATCTGAAGTGGGATGGGGAAGCCGTGGATACTGCTCCCTGTTGCACAGCGCCCCACCTCCACACACCCCGCCCCGCCCACCCCACGGACGCCGGGTACTCACTAGCCTTGGCTGGAACCTGTGCAGCGATGGCGGGTGCTGGTGATGGCGGGTGCTGGTGCGGGCAGCAGGCAGAGTACAGGGCAGCAGCGTGCAGGAAAGGCGCAGGGAAGCCTTATCACTGTGACTCAGCACTTTGTGGACACAGGGAGGGTCTTGGACAGGGGTGACACTCCTTATTGACACTGTACAGTGCTCTCGCTCCGCCCTCCCCTGCCAGCTCAATTGCCAGCCTCCATTTAGCCTCTGGGCCCCTCCTGCCCTGGCGGTGTATTGGGGGCGGGGGAGGGGAGGGTGCCTTGGCCCCGGGAGGAATGTGTGAGCTGGATAGATGCTCTGATCGGCGTGAGGGTCCCAGCCCGACGCCTTAAGAAACCTGCCTTTAACTGTAGTCCACTTGCCAGGCAACCTGCAGAGCCTGCCGGAATTTGAATCCTGCCTCCACCACTTGTTAGCGGGGTGACCTTTTGCAAGTGGCTCATTTTTCCCACCGTAAAATGAGGATGTTGCTGATAACACAACACAACCTTCTAGAGTTGTGATAAGAATTCAGTGAACTTGCTAGGTTCAAAGCACTACACAACTGTTTGTTGCATAAATAAGTAGCCTGCTGTTTGCCACTTAGAATGGGGCGGAGGAGTGGGGGCGGGTATTGGAGAGTTTTCCCAGGGGAGGGCGGAGTTACAGAAGCCAGCGCAGGGATCTAGTTCACTGCTAAGATTCTTCTTCCTCTTCTTCTTCCTCTTCCTCTTCCCCTTCCCCTCCTCCCCCCTCCCCTTGTTCATTGCTAGGATTTTTAACCAGGGGTATGTTTCTGTTGTCTAAACACCAGAAACAGGTGTGGCTGTTTCAATGCAACGTTAATTGTGGATACTGAAATCTGAGTGCCACTTGTCCAGAAATGTTATTTCTCTTTTGATTTTTTTATTTCTACCACTTAAAAATGTAAAAACTATTCTTAGCTTGCAGGCTATAAAAACTAGTTAGTGGACCAGAGGTGGTTGCTGGCCTGGTCTGCACACCCCCACTCTAAAAGAAGCTAGTAGTGGAACAAGGACTTTCCTCCGGATTTATTATGTCAGTGGGATTCAGACTCCCTCCCCACCTTGCCTAGATGATTCAAAGTTTAATGAGATAATATGTGTGAGCACTAAAAGTGCGATGAAATAAAGTATTGTGGCTTATATCATCATGATACATACTTCTGCAACTGCCTCCAAATAAAATAGAAGCATGGGCTCTCTGGCACTTTGCAATCTTCAGTAAATGCTTCTGCCTTTCTTACCATAAAGCTCACCATTTTGCCAATTGTCTGAGCCTGAAACAAGCTCATTCTTTCACCTTGAAACCCTATGGATTCTGCTCCTAATCTCTTAAATTGTTCCCACTTTGACTGGCAGCATCGATCTTCTCTGATAGCCACCCCACTCTTGCCTTCAGGCATATTACTCTCCAACTCACAGGGAAATGGAATACCTGCTTAAGACCTTCATTGCTCTCAAGAGTAAATCCTGGGATGTCATTACCCCTCAACACAATGATACCCGCTCAAGGACTGACAAAGACACACACACACACACAAACACACACACACACACACGCACACAGGCACCCCCTTTTCCCACCATGCTGAACTTCATTTTGGCTCTGCAATGTGTATTCTCTCTCTTGTTGGCTTGTTGTGCCTCTGTCTGGAACTTTCTCTCTCCTGATCTGGCTTATCCACATTCATGTTTCAGCTCTCAGTTTGGATATCACTCTGGAAAAACTTCCCTTTTCATTCCTTCAAGTCTGGGTGAGATGTTTGACCCAGCAATCATCGCACTTATGCATTCTTGACCAGAGTCACAGTTTACCTTCCTTAGAAAGATTCTCTTTCCTAAGATGGCCCCAACACTTTTTCCCATCACACCTGTTTTTTTCTGCAATGTGACCTTGACATTCCCCCCCGCCATGGAGTTTCCTCTCCTCTTCTTGAGTCTAGACTAGGCAGGGCTTGTGGCTGGTTTGACCAGAGCAATATGGTAAAACTGATACTGTGCCAATTCTGGGTGTGGTTCTGAAATGGCCAGGCAGCTTCTGCTTCTTGCCTCTTGGAAGCCAGTTGCTATATAAGAATAGCAATGGCCTTGAGGCTACCATTCTAAGAGAAGCTCATGGCACGTGGTAGAGAGGTCCTGGAGGAAAAAAAGCCATATGAAGAAAGTGACAGCGGCCAAGGACACTGAGGAACTAGACATGTAGATGAAGAAGCCATCTTAGAAATAGATCCTCTAGCCCCAGTTGATACAGGTGATGAGTCCTTCTTAACTTCTGGACCCACAGAATTGTAAGCAAATAAAAATGGTTGTTTTAAGCCATGCAGTTCCCATTTGTTTCATGATAATAGCTAACTGAGAAATACGCTTTTTATGAGACAGGAGACATGAGGTGGATTTTCAAAGCTCTTTGGGCTAAAGGAAAACTCTTGCCCTATTAGAAAGCCCAATATTTGCCCTATTAGAAAGCATATACGTCCATTTAAATGTTATTACCAAGGCAACCAGCCATCCAGCAAGATCCACAATTATTAAAATACACTTGAGAGGTTAAGTGTGGGATCCCACAGGCCATAGCAGTAACCTTTGGAGCTCAGGTGTCCAGAAAGTCATAAGCAGCATTCACAATGAACTGTCTCTGTGAAAGTTATAAGTAGCATTCACAGAGACAGCTTTGTAATAAAAGAAAACAGAAAAGAATGGCTTCACTATGCATTTGTACCCACTTCTATACTGGATATGTGATACTCTTGTGGAGGTTTTCAGTTCATCACCCTTTCAAAGCTTTCTCTGAACCTCAGAATCCCCTCTACCTCCAAAACCATAACAGCAGCAAGAGCTTCCCTTCCTTCTTCAGTTTGAAAAACCAGTGACAGGTAGAAGCTAAGTCCAAGGGCATGCATTTTCAGGCCTGAAAAGCTAGAACCCTTAAAGTAAAGAAAACCAAAGTTAGGAGGGGATGGATTTTTACACATAGAATATGGGGCATGTAACATTGCACTATAGAAGGGCCCACCTCTGAGGTCAGAAATGTGACATAGAGCTTTGAGCACTTTTCTCACTGTTGTCACCAGGATGGAGATGGGAAGCAGGCCACTGGATATATGAGTATGTACATAGACCGTTGGTGGCCTTTGGAACCCTGGGAAACAAAGAAAACTCCATGCTGATATGACAATGAAGAGGGCCTTCCCTAAAGAATTCCAAATAATAGCATTATTATCTTAAAAGATGCCTACATAAGCAATAGATTTTATTTGCACTTTTTTGCAAAAATTGTGTTTTCTCTTCTGTATGACTTCTTGGTTTTCTTCTCAAAGATATATTTTATAGAAATATATGGACGTCCTGTATGGACATCATTTCATTATTTGCATGTTTTCTCCTTCAAGCAGGCAACTGAAGAACTCTTTCTTGCCAATTGGTCAATCGTTCATGATTTGCCTCCCAGGGCACTGTAGCTGTTGTCCATTAAATGATAAATATCTCTGGACTATTCCATATTAGGGATTCGAACTCACTGAACCCAGAAAAGCGATTGTCTCCAATCAGAACTGATCAGACTCTCAAATCTGGGACTGATTATTTTGTAAACATTGGTTTATTAAAGCCATTAATATGATTGAGGACATCCATATATATGCAGGAAAGATGAGGATATGCAACTCCCATTTCCACCAACATGAGAGCAATGTACATAAAGCTGGTCTGTCCAATTAACCAGGGTTTTAATGCAGAAGCTACATGTAATCAACTGTTGCACAAAACTCATAACTGTGTTCTGGTCTTTCCCATGGGCTTTGGGCAGTGTGCCAGGAAAGAATGGCTTATGACCCTTTTTATGAGCTCCAGAACTTTCCTAGAATTAATCATAAGCAAAACACTCTTCACCCTGAAAGGCTGATTCATCTCTGAATCAGGAAAATAGAGAAATTTAGGTGAATGATTCCCCTCATTACTATTTCAGTTACCCTGATAACTTTTCTCAGTTTTCAGTTTTTGTAAGATAGTATCTTCTGGCTAATTAAAGGTTGCTTTCAAGATCATAGCATTGGAGTTAAAATAAAGGTTAATTTGAATTAACCTCTAGTTAATGTTTTTTATACTGTGGTGTTTACGGGTGACTGATGGCTGCAACTTACTTTGCACAAAAACTAACAATATCAATAGTAGTTATACCAGTAAGGGGGAGAGTTAGATGGATAGAGAGGTGCATAAACAGCTAGATGACAAAGCAAATGTAACATATAATTATAGAATCTAGATGGCAATGTATGGGTGCTCATCATAAGATTTTTAACTACTTTTTTGTATTTCAAAACTTTTCATGATAAAATTTGGTGGAAAACTATTCAATAGTTTGAATCAAAGTAGGAATCATGGGTAGAAGTGTTCCATAAAGATACCCTGTTTCCTTATCTTCTTTGCTTCCAACTCTGGCACCCTGAACACAGTACATTTCAATGAATGCCTGTTGAACTGAGCTGTTAAACTAAATTCCAAGCTATTAGGTCACTTCCACAGCTGGCAGGATTCTTCTAGAGCATGAATTGGCAAAATTTTCCTGTGAAGGCCAGATGGTAAATATTTGAGACCTGTGAGTATATGGTCTCTGTCGCAACTACTCAACTCTGCCATTGTACAATGAAAGCAGCATAGATGATATATTAAAAAATGACCAGTGCTGTGTTTCAAAAAGATTATTTATGAAAACAGGTGGTAGTCATAGTTTGCCAACCCCATTTAGACCCCATTTAATGTAGTATTTACCATCCACTAAAAAGTGGAGTAAAACTGACAAAATACCAACAGTCTATATAAAGATTTCAGATTTCAGTCAAGGTCATAACAAAACAACAAACATTTTTGTGTCCACCTCCAGCCTACCTCCTTTCATAAAGAGCAAAGTTATTTGTTCCACCATTGAACCTAAAGTTTAACATGCAGGCATCCTTAGGAAAGGTGATACATTAATCTTTTATGTTGGTAAGCATAAATGATTCCCATCAGATCCCAAACTCCAAGGTGTTTAGCACTGGAATGAATACGTGTAGGGGGTGCGGAAGTGATGCCCCCAATGAAGAGATTCTTATGGGAAAAGCTCAGGCTACAGAGAAAAGATATTGGAGCTCTGTAGGCTTACTATTTAGTAGGGAGAGACCAACATTAAACATAATAAATAAGTAAATTATGTAGTAG